CTGACAGGAGACGCAGGTGAGGAGCCAGACTGAGAGAGACTCCTGACAGGAGACACAGGTGAGCTAGACCGAGATGAGAAGAGGACATGGAAGACAAACACAGAGCTAGGAGTCTGATGTCCAGTGTGCGGAGGGACACAGGAGAGGACACCTGCCAGTGTTCAGGCAGAATGGACAGAGGTACCAGTGAGACCTGTGTCAGTGTCTGCCGGCTCTCCAGTGAGTCTGCTCTCCTCTCTCTCAGTGCGGTGTTCATGTCCTGTGGTTATCAAAAGTATTCACCCCCTTGGAATTATTTACATTTTACTGTGTTAGAATAGAGAATCACACCGTTTGGGATTTCTGTGATTGATCAACAGAAAACTCACTAATATCAAAATGAAAACAACATCCCGCAGGTCCTGCTAAATTAATTATACGTCTAAAATGGGAAACGATTCATTCCGTAGATTTTTACCTTTGTCACCGTGACGCAACTAAACAGACTCTGGTGCAGCCAGACGTCTTTAGAAGTCTGATCACTCGTCGAGTGGAACCCACCTGCGTGCTACCAGGGTGTTTCCCCCTGAGTTTGGGTTGAATATACCCGTCTCTGGGACGTCCCGCAGTGCATCTGCAGCTGTAGCTGTCCGGAGACCGCGGTAAGAGCCTGTAATGCGCTTTACCGCGGTACGCGGTCCACGGGCCACAGATGATCGACAGGTGGCTCTTGTGGTGCGTCAGAGGTGAGTGAACCGATTTCTTATTTTCATCTCTCTGCGGTGCGTGTTGACATCTGCCTCAGATGGAATATTAATGTGGGTTTTTACTCCTAAAGGGACGTTTTAGTAGCGGAGCGTGACAACGACAGGAGGGTGATGCCTCTGAACGTTGTCAACGATATTCGCTTAGGAATATAAAGGTGTTTCACATGCCGTATTTGGCTGGTAGTGGTAGCTAAAATAAAAATACTCAACTGTATTCCACTTTCTTCACACACACTTTATACATCAGGGTCTTTAACTCGGACACTTACTGCGGTAAGTCTGGAAAAGTTGTGACGTGCCCGTTCTGACTGTATTAAGTTTATATACTTTGTAAAAAGCTGTTCTGTCTTCACCTTTTCTATGAATACTTGCTGCTGTTAGTGCAATAAAAAAACCTGTACTTTCCAGAACCCGCTTCACAGGGAGTATGGTATTGTGATGGTGAAACTGAAGAAATTAATAACGATGTGAATTTGAGTCTCCATTTCTTCGGCTCTTTCACTTGTGGTGACTTGGGAAATGTTTTGACGTGTCCGTTTCCGAGTGGCGTGTTGGTACAGCGTGAGGCTCTTCCTACCAGAGATCTGGGTTCGATTCCTGCTCGGGGCACAAGTTTTCCTTCTAACAAACAGGCTCCTTTTTAAACAAAAAAATAAATAGTGAATATTATGTACCCTTTATTGACTTTTAATTTATTTTTTTTTATATAAATGTCACAGCGTGTTCAGGGCTAAGTGATATTATTAAAGGCATGAGCAAACTTGAGCACTGTCAGTAGTGGGAGTGAAAACCAGTTCAACAGGTTTCATTCAGTTCAAATCGAAATACTTTATTCATCCCCGCAGGGCAATTAGAATCAAGTCTAATAAGTATATCTATAATTGTGATCGAGACTAACAAAGTGGTGTTACAAAGACCACTGAAATTGAACTATAATAACTTATCTGGTCATTATTAACAATGCTAATTTATTCACAATAATTAATTTTGTTCAGAGTCATTTGTGTTCTCTGGTTTTAATAACCCTCGCTTTCTTATTAAACACCTATATTTGAGACGCAGTGTTTCAGATGTCGATAGCTTTGTGACCGAAGGAGCCAGAGATGAAGGTTTGTGAAAATGATCACAGCTTTTATTTCAGCAACATCTAGTAACCCGACCACATAGAGCTGAACAGCAGAAGCACTCTCTTGAATCTGTGAAACTCTTTCTGCATTTTCTGTTTTTACTCCGAGCACAATAAATGACATGTGAAATTCTTTTGACAGGAGGGATGAGGTTCTGTGCTCAGTTGCTTTTTCACCACAGCTCGCATGACGCTACCTTTTTTAGGCATCAGTCGAAGCGTTCTGAAGTCTTTGGAAAACGGGGAAAAATGTCACATAGAGTGCAGTCTGTAAGTATCCGCACAAACAGCGACACAGTTTGTGTTGTTTTGGCTCTGTGCTCCAGTGCGTTGGATTGGAAATGAAACAGTGACCATGAGGTTAAAGGTTAAAGGGCAGACTGTCATCTTTAATTCGAGGGTCTGTATTGGGTGAACCATAGAGGAATCACAGCCCCTTTTATACACAGCCCCCCCATTTCGGGGAACCGGAAGAAACTGGACAGCTGGCTGCTCAGTTGTTTCTTGGCCGGCTGTGTGTCGGTGCACGAGAGAGCTGACGAGGTCTGGCGTGGATTCTGGGTGGGGCGTGTGCGTCTGGAGCCTGTTGCTGTGGTCCCTCGACACGAGGGCCCAGGAGGTGTCCCTGCCAGTGACAGCGGGCCACCGTGAGGCCGGAAAACCGGAATAAATCCATCGGAGGCAGAGCCAGGACGCGAGGCGTGTCGGGATCGACTGGCTGGTACAGGGAGAAGCAGGAACGCGCTGGTGAGCTGGTGGACCACGGGAGACCACAGCAGCGGATGACCGCAGACTTTCAGTCGGGAAGAAAAACCCCTTTTCCACTCTTGAACAGATCGGGAACACTCTCCAGGCTGTAGGCATAGATGTGTCCAAGACAACACCAGCCTCACCTCAGAGGGTCACCCCCAGACGCGGACCACGGGTGAGCCTCCAGACCAGAAAGGGCCCGGTTACAGTGTGCTAAACCTGCGGAGTTCTGGGATGGAGGCTTTCTGGACGGATGAGAGGAAGATGGACCTGTACCGGAGAGATGGGAAGAGGAGAGTGGGGCTCGTGATCTGCACACCTCCTTGTCTTCGAGCCGCGGGGGAGCTGGTGTCCTGTCCTGGGCTGACGATGTGACTGCAGACCGCAGCAGCAGGATGAGTCCTGAAGTGTGCAGAAGCACCTGACCTGCTCAGATCGACGTTTGCAGTTTATAAAAATAGTGCTGCCATTTATAATAAGGGTTTTTAATAGTATTTTTTGGATCTTTGTATCGCATAATTGTATTTTTTTTGCCTTCTACATTTTGGGAGTGAATTAAGGTAAGCTCTAAGCATTGTTTGCCAAAAGGCAGGTGTTGTAAATACTATCTGTGACTTTTTGTTAAGTTGTTAAATGTTCCATTTTTTCTGAATGCCTCAGAACTCACTGGACGGCACTTCACCTTGCAGCAGGACGGTGACCCCCAAACTGCTGGGATACCGCTAAACCCACCATGGAGGTTTTCAGGGCCAGAATAAAGGAACATGTTCTTGACTGGCCCAGTCCATCACCCCACCTGAATCCCACTGAGCACAGACTTCACTGACTGAAGGCAAGAGGTCTCTGACACAAGCAGGGACTGGAAATGGCTGAATGACGCCCTGAAATCACCCTGATCTGCCTCCTCACCAGTGTGTCAGGAGACACGACGCTGGGAAGTCTGTGATCCTGGAGTCTTGTCTCTTGGAGTGAGGTGGGTGGAGAGAGAGGTGGGGGAGATGTCACTGGACTCCTCTCTGCTGATAGACGGTGTCCTGACGTGGGACAGTGGCATCTGCCGGTGCTCCCAGTCCAGTACTCCTGACCAGCATGTGGAAAAGCACCAGTTCATCTGTGTCAATGCGCTGTCTGGTGAGGCCTCCCTCACTCCCACTCTGTCTGTTTCACTGTGGCCATCGGTACAGCCGACAGCATCTCTCCTGTCTGGAGAGTTAGTCAGGTTTAGGGTGCTATCACGTCTGTACTTGAGTCAGATTCAGTCTGGTTCCTCCTGTCTGCACACACCGTCCCCTCTGATCTGCAGACGTGTTGTTGATTTCAAGGGCAGTTCGGGGAGGACGCTGTCATCGAGATTAAGGCTGGGAACAAGAGTACAAACGTTTCCATTTGGACTTTGAACGAGCAGTAAAAAGGGTAAGATCACATTTTCAGAGTTTTATTCATTATACGTTTGTGTTTTGTTCCCCAGTGAGCTCACGCCAGGCTGCAGAGGAACCGAGGGGCTTCAGCATCCTCGCCTGTGGGCCAGCAGTGACAACAGTAAGTTAGTGTGAAGGACTGTGCAGGAGGCTGCCTGCAGGGCGGCGCTGTGGAGCAGGTTAACTCATCCCAGCTCTGCAGAATCCAGCAGCTGTTTCACCCTGCAGCTCCCAGCTGGCAGCCCCACTGGAGCCCAGCAGGTGTGAGCCTGGCCAGTACCTGGAGGGGAGACTCCTGGGAGAGCTGAGGCTGCTGCTGGGAGAGGTAAAACCGAGGTCCTGACTCTCTGTGCTCATTAACAATCCCAGGGTGTTTCTGGAGAAGAGTAGGGGTGTTACCCCAGTGTCCTGGCCTGATTCCCCCCCTGGTCTTGACCCATCATGGCCTCCTAATCACCCCCCTCTCTGAACTGGCTCCATCCCTCTGCTCTCCTCCCCACTGAGAGCTGCTGTGTGCTGAGCGGACTGGAGCATCATCCAGGTGGGGGCTGCACACTGGGGGGGCTGGAGGGGATCCCCCTAACTTGGGGAGAGCTCTGAGGGGAGGGTCCAGAAAAGAGCTATAGAAGTGTAAGAAGATTATTATTAGTAGTATTATAAGTATTATTTTATTATTATTATTATTGTTGAAACCCTGGGGTGTCAGAATGACAAGGAGGGGACAAAACCTACAGTCGAACCTTCAGGCATGTTTGTTTCTGACAGACGCAGCTCCTGCAGGAGGACCTCGGCGCCAGCGGACGGGGCCGGGTCGAGGAGGCTGTGGGACGTCCGGGAAGCTCTGGGACAGGTGGGCAGGGAATGGGAATGTTAGGAAACGGGACCAGGCAGCCAGGACTGGAGAGGGCGCCCCCAGACCTGCAGTTAGAGGACAAGGGGCTGTGCTTGACTGGAGGGGACGGTACCCCTTCAGCACCGCAGGGCACGAGGCGCCAGGCAGGTGAGTGCAGACCAGGTGAGTCTCTGCTTCACAACCTTCACAACCTCACTAGTGAAAGAGGAGCGCTGGAAGTATTGAATCGGTACATGATGAAGTATGGTTATGGTTTCATTAACAGTAAAACTGTTTTATTAGAAACACTAGTAATAGAAGCAGTAGGTGCTCTTTTCACTAGTAGCACTAGTAATAGAAACAGTAGTATTATCAGTAGCAGCACTAGTAATACAGGCAGTATTATTTTCAGCGAAAGCACTAGGGTTATAAGCGGTAGTGTTATTTTCAGCTGGAGATCTCGTATTAGAAGCAGTAGTGTCGTTAATTTCAGTAGCAGCAGTTGAAATAGAGGTAGTAATATTGCTATTTTCATAAGCAGCAGTAGTGTTGTCATTTTAAGTAGCAGCACTAGTAATAGAAACAGTGGTGTTATTTTTTTCAGTAGCACAACTGATAATAGATCATTCATTAAGGGTACTAGTAACTGAAGCAGTGGTGTTGCTACTGAAGATAACACTTGGAGTAGAAGCAGTAGTAGTGTTGTTTTCAGACGCAGCAGTAGAGGTGGTGTCGAAGAAAACTCTTCACTCAGGTGAGGTGTGGTCAAGCAGAGTCCTGTATTCATGTGCAGGGGGAGAATACAGTCATGCAGATCTGAGAGCAGCCTCTCGTACTGATCTGAGATGGTAAAGGCAATGAGTTTTATACAGCACACTCACACAGGAAAGCTTTTAGATTTCCATATTAGTTGTTTTTCTCTCTACAAACATTTCTTTGTAATCGACCACTTTATTCTTAAGAAGCAAATTTGCTTTGGAAAGAGACAAAAGGAAGTAAACAGGTGTGAAATGAGCTGGACTTTCTGCACTAATATTATTTTCAGTAACTGGAATAGAAGCAGTGGTGCTGTTCTTTTCAGTTGCAGCACTAGTTGTAGAAGCAGTAGTGTTATTTTCAGCAGGAGAACTAGTAATACAAGCAGTAGTGTCGTTATTTTCAGTAGCAGCACTAGGAATATATGCAGTAGTGTTATATTCAGTAGCAACATTAGAAATAGAAGCAGTAGTGTTATTTGCAGT